AACAGCCTGGAGTTTATCTGTGCCTGGGTGTGGCCGCAGAGAAGTTCCCGGCTCTGGCACCGATTCGCTTTCCAGCTTTAGTTTCTAATTAATTTTCCCCAAGTGTTTGCGTCGTGCAAGTACTAAAGGGCGTAAAACACTGAAAAAAAATCATTTTCCTTAAGAAAAGGAAGTGATGTTTTCTGAAAAATTTAGTGGTTCTAAAATGTCTTTTCAATGAAATCTCCACTTGAATAGTGGAGAGGGAGGGGCTGGTTTATCCACACCAGCAAGTACCTTGATGTTGAAATGTGACTGAAACAAAAGCAGTAGCATGTTGCTACTTTTCCTTTCTATTAATCCTTGAAATGCATTGAAATGAATAAATTCATTTCATTGAAATACACAAGAACTTAAACTTTGAAGGGTTTTGGAAGTGTGTACAGATTAATTTCTTTGGCAGTCGTGTTGATGTTCATACAAGACCACATTTAATTTTGGCACCGTTGATTTCTCGTCTGGTGGTGAGAGCAGAAGCAGCAGCAGATGATGTGACCAGGGAGCTCTGTTGGCTGCTGTCAAAGCCTCATTGATGGAAGGGTCTGTACCCGGATTAATTTCCTATAACTGGGAAGGACACCTCGGATTCTGCCATGGGAAGGATTTGTCACAGACTCTGCCCCTCTGTGGCAGATGTGACCACGTCTGTGTCCCTCAGCACAGCAGACCCCGTGGCAGCCAAAGGGAAACTTTGGATTCCTTGCCTGCCTGTGGCCTGTCACAACTGATACACGAGTCAGGGGACACCTAATCCCCTCTACCATATTTATTGTATGTTAGGAGATGGTAGAAGCCTTTTTGGAGGTAGGAGTTATGGCTACTTTTATTATCATCATTCCCATGGTCAGAGAGCAGCTACAAGGTTTCACAGCCTTCTAAAAACCCAGTATAAAGTTGCTTCAAAAATCCACAGTGATTTGGAAGGCTTAAAAAGTCTAAGGGCATTCTAGCACTGCAGCACTTATGGCACAGATCCAAATGATATTGCCTTTTCCATTAATTTAATGTTCAACTTGCCTTCCTCGAAATAAAGCTCGGTTCCCTTGTTTTGCAGGGCTATATTTTACATTTCTTATGCTTTTGTAATGTCCTTGAGATGACATTGCTTTGTCTGCTGCAGCCTGTTCCTTCTCATGGTGTGGTTTATTTTGTGAATATGCTGGGCAGATGATTAGTGGAATAAGATATGAAAACTTCTAAAAGTAATCTACTGGACAACTGAGAACACAGAGAATTTTTCACTTTGTGAAAATGTCTTACTGATGGATACTGACCTGTTTCTGAATTCAGAGTGTAAATTGTTTGAAACAAGGTGGGTTACTTGATATATTGACTCTTTTCTTTTAAAAACAATTTTTCCCTCTTCTTTGTGATCACAGGAATCATTTGTATGAACCGTGTGCTGGTGTGTCCACACCTATCCCAAGTCACTGCATTTCAGAAACACTTATACTGGAGTAAAAGCAGAAATGCTGAGGAATCTAAGTGAAATTAATCTGAACCTTTCTTCACCCAAGGTTTCAGATATTATCTTTTCTTTTAGAGAAGGGTAGTCAGCTTGAAGAAATACAGCTGGAGTAGAAGGGTACATAGGAGCTAAAAAAACCTATGGAAAACAATGGTTCTGCCAGGGCTCAGCCTCAATCCTGCAGATTTTGGAGCTTCACTCAAGAATTTGAGGGGAGGAAATATTTGTGTAAAGCAAGAGTTGTCAGCAGTCTTTGGCTTGACAACAGTCTGTGGCTGGCCAGGCTTCCAGCTGGTAGAGACACGGACTCAGGGCTGTGCAGGGCTGGACTGCAGTGAGGAGACATGGTAGAAATATGATGTGTCCTGCCCAGTCAGACCTTACTGACCCAATGCATTTGGAAATAATGATCACTAAACTTTCTCCAGCAGCAGCCTCCCATTTACTTGCAGAGTTTTGAATCCCTAAACAAGCTCTGTTAGCATAGCTTGGTCAGCATGCCACCTTTTCCCAGCCTCTTTATATGGAAGCCTCAGTGCTTTTCCTTCTCTTTTCTCCACTTCTGGGATTGCTACCTTCTTTCAGCCCTGCCAAAAGGAAGACTCTCAGCAGTGAAGACCCCAGGACAATATTCTTGTTTAGACTCAATTTCCTCCAGTTCTGACTCAGCCACCACAGCTTGAACAGAGTTGGTTCTCTCCACGCTGCCTCCTTGCCTGCAGAGGAGCATCTGCAGCAGAAGAGCTGCCCAGGAGCGTGTGCTGCAGCAGCCAGGTGTGCCCGGAGTACTGACAAAGTGCCTTTTTCCTGGCACTGTTTATAGTCTGAGTAAATCAGGCCCAACCAGCCGAAGGGAAATGCTGCTGATGGAATCGTGTCCCTGCTGGAAGCTGTGCCAGCACAGCCATGCCAGGGAGGGATCAGACTTTGCCCCCCCCGTTTCACAGCTCCATGGGCAGCAGCCCAGAGGTGTCTGCACCTCCCTGCTGTAAAAGCAGCCCTTGCCTTCCTCAGCCAAACCAGTCCCTGCTTTGCTTTGCTCAGGTGGCAGGGCTGGGCATCCCCAGGCACAGCACAACTCGGGCTCGCCCTGCTCACTGCACACAACTCAGCAGCACTCATGGGCACAGGAAATTTTACAGCCTTCAGCAGCCTCTGGCTGCAGCAGCAATGCTTTTTCCTATGCAAAGCCTGGGCTTTTTTCAAGGCCTGTATTCACTCAGCACCCACTTGAGTGTATTTTTATTGTAACTGCGTGCAGTGCTCCTCAGGGAATAAGCGTTTAGATGTCACTCATTAAAGTCCATGTTGCAGTTAGTTGAATATTTTACTTGGAATAAATTTACAAGTTTTTCTTGTTTTCAAGGGGTTTTTTGGCAAAAATATAATTTGTTGAGCAGATCAAAAATGTATGATTTTTACTTTTCTCACTATGTTCTGGCTCTTTAGTTAATTGTAAATGTAGTTTTACTCACGAGTGTTTCTTACATGTTTTATTCTTTTGACTCTTCTGGAAATGAAGGGGAGTTATCAGTAATATTTGTACCAATATGTGCAGGAATACACATATAATTTTAAAATATATCTACACGTTGCAATGTTAACTAGGAAGCTGTAGGGGATGTTGCTCAAACAGCATTTTGCATGATTGTAACTCAGATTCTTACGGTGAAAAAGATTACTGCAGATTAGCCCCTTGACAAGGGAGGCACTCACATTATGAGCTCCAGAAAAACAATATTTTTTCTTTCTTTCTTTTCTTTTGTCCAAGTCACCTTTTGCACAGCAGTTATCACTTAGAAAATACGCCTGTCCCACCACGATCCACTTAACTGTTGACTGTTTAATGTGTGTCTCTGAACAGGTTATTTAGCATTTACATATTCTGAGCTCTCAGCCATTCAAATTACAGTAGCAGCTTGTTTGTTGTGGTACAAATGATTTTCTGTGCAGTGAAGGCATGGATTTTTAAAGTAACAGCTGTAGAGCTGCATTTCTGAGCTGGCAAACTGGCTTGCTTTGTCATTCTGTACTCAATGTTTCAGCAGTATTTCCAGTGGAATTTTTTTTCATACCTTTCAAAGCAAAAATATGGACATGACATTGGTGAATCCCTAATTCGTAGGGAGTGGGGAGTCTTGGTGGTTGTGCTACAGCACAAAAGATTAAGATGAATGTGTGACAAAGCAAAAGGCCTTTGGTACAGCCAGGAATTCAAATCCATGGGTCAAAACTGGTGTTCCTGCAGAAATTATAGCACAAGAGCTATGTAAAAGGCCCTGTCATACCATGACCTTCTTTGATTGCATGGGTACTAGGACTGAGGCAAGTTTTAAATGATGTGTGTGCCTTAATCACAAAAAAAAAAAAAAAAAAATGCAAATATCAGTGATATCTGTGAAGGGAACTGCAGCTCTGCTTTACCTCCAGTGCAGGCATTCATGCAGTGGAGAGCTGCCATCCTGAGATGGGGGTGGTGAGATTGCAGCTCTGCTCTTCCCTCCTTCAAACATGCAGGGTGCCCATGCAAAGCACTAAGGATTTGTGCAAATCATAAAAGGGCTAGAGGTTTTTCCTTATAACTTGACTCGAAGGAATCAGCTCTTGTCTGTACAGATACAGATGGAGTTACTGGAACTTGGCTAAAAGAGCTGTGCCAAACACTGTTGCTGCTTTCCTGTTTGGAAGTTGTGCTGAGAGGTTTTATGAGCTCCCCGAACCAATCCTGCAGCAAAGAGGAAGCAGCCCATAATGATTTCCCATCTCAGTTCACCAATTTAAGCTCTAAAGAAAGGTTTGATTATTAAGCTTGGAAATTTTTCCGCACAAGATTAATCCTTACTTTAGGGAGTTAATTCCATTTATATCAGTAAGATTACTCACGTGAGTAACCAGCCACAGAATTTGCCTGTAGTACTGTGATTGCCTAGGGGGAAGTACAAGCAAGTCTGCAATTAAAGTTACAAAAGGAAAAGGTCTGACCTTTTCTCTTCTTTTTTCTTTTCTTTTTTTTTCCTTAAGTATATATCTCTATTGTTTCATTGACTAGTGACAATGGCTTTTGCATTCTGAGGTGTTACTAACAGCAACACAAAATGGCTTTTCTTTAATAAGAAAAAAATAGGAAATGCTAAAGCTTCACTGTGAAAGGTAGAAAGAGGAGGATCTCTGAGTTTTAAGTTCAAGAAGCCCTAGGCTTTCTTCGTGTGCATCACATTAGTGGAAAATTCCTTCATTCATTTCAGAAGATAAACAGTTGTAACTTTCACGTTTGGTTGATGTGACATCAATGACTGCCTGGGACTGCCAGCATTCCAAAAAGGATATCGTCCTCATCTGCAGCCACTCAGGGCTGCGGGGTGGAGCCTGCAGCACAGGCTGAAACATTTACAGGTGCATAAGTACCTAGGGAAGGGCACAGGTGATGCACCTGTCCCAGGAAAGGAGCACTAGCACAGGTGTGTCTCAGCTCACCAGCCGCCTGGCTTAGAGCATGAGCTTCTTTGACCCACAAGCGCACTCCCCGCCGCGCTGCAGCCCCCAGTTCCCAAACATCGGCCAAGAGCCCCCGGAGATGAACATCTACTACGAGAACTTCTTCCATCCGCAGAACATCCCGAGCCCCCAGCGACCCAGCACCTTTGAGACCACGGATTACAGCAGCACTCCCAATCCTTACCTCTGGCTAAATGGACCTTCCATTACCCCCCCACCGTACCTGCCAGGATCCAACACCAGCCCCTTCATCCCGCAGTCGTACGGGATGCAGAGGCAGCTCTTGCCCAACATGCACAGCTTGGGAGGAACCGACCTGGGCTGGCTTCCCCTGCCGTCCCAAGAGGAGCTGATGAAGTTGGTGAGACCACCTTACTCCTACTCTGCCCTCATTGCCATGGCCATCCACGGGGCACCTGACAAGAGGCTGACTCTGAGCCAGATCTACCAGTACGTGGCCGACAACTTCCCGTTCTACAACAAAAGCAAAGCTGGCTGGCAGAATTCCATACGGCACAACTTGTCTCTCAACGACTGCTTCAAGAAGGTGCCTCGAGATGAAGATGATCCAGGTATAGCCCTCTCCCCCTTTTCCCCCACCTCTAATTAAATTTGATGAATTTGAAATACTTAGTGCACTGTAGAGACATGGTAGCCCAGGTACAGGACATAGACACAGTAGCACTTTGTTTTCAAAGGCTGAAGTAGAAAGCAGCTGGGCAGAGCTGAGCTGTGAATCAGTGTTGCTGTGAGATCTCTGGAGGGAAGGGAATTCTCTCCTGCCCTGGGTCTTCCTGAGAATGGATGGATGAGCTGAGATTCAGACTCAGCACACACAGGAACATTTAACTGGGCAAGGCACACTCAAGACCCATTTGGTGTAATGCATGACTTGTGTCAAACTTAACTGGGAATTCAAGGGAAGGGGATTTGCCAAAGAAATCCAGTGGCTTTGGGGAGTCAGCATTAATTCTCAAGAGGAGAGCAGGCTGCTTTTTGTTTGTTTGTTTGTTTCAATTACTGTTTTCCTTGGAATAACACCTCTCACATTATCAACCCCTTGGCTGGTAGGCTGTCAGTCCTGTATTCGTGGTTTCCTATCAATAGCTGTTAAGAACCACTGAGAACATTAAAAACTCATTGAAATTATTCTGCAGTAGAGGGCCAAAAGTCTAGTTCTACCTTGTTAGAAACCTATGCTACCCAACTGAATCTGGAGGAGCAGCCCAGTGTGGGATTTGATCACTCTCTGCCATAAGTTCAGAAGACCAGCTATATACTGAAAACCTCTATCCCTCACCAAGAAAACAAAACAAAAAGCCCTCCCAGTGACTCCACTTTTAGTTTTGCCTGTGTGAAGAGTCAGGTCTGAAGGATAGAACCCAGAACTTTAAACTTCTTTTCTGAATTGAACAGACTTTTGAGTGACTAAAAATACATTTGTATTGCTCATGCAATTGTTCTGTTTCTGTGAAATGAAAGAAGCACTGTAAAGCCCTAAATGACTGGGGGTTTTTTGTTGGTTTCTGTGCATATTTTTAAACTAAAAGTGTGGGTTTGTTTCCTTTGACAGGAAAAGGGAATTACTGGACGCTGGACCCAAACTGTGAAAAGATGTTTGACAATGGAAACTTTCGCAGGAAGAGAAAGAGGAAGTCTGACATCGAGGCCAGTGCTGCTGCTCTTACATCTGAGAAATCTGAGGACAGTACCCTGACTGGCAGCCCCAAAGCTGCAGAGCATCAGGATATCTTGGAAAACTCATCACCTGGGACTGACAATTCACCTGAGAAAGGATCTCCTCCTCCCTCTTCCAGCAGCCCGTGCCTCAGTAACTTCCTCTCCAGCATGACCGCCTATGTCCACGGCTCCAACTCGGGGAGCCGCTCCGGCCCCATGGGACTCAGCTCTGAACCCATTGACAAAATGGGGCAGAACATGGTAGGCTTCAACTCCTACTCCCCACTCTCCAGTATCCCCAGCCACGGTGTGGGGGACTGGTCCAATTCCATGCCCTCCGCTCACCTTGGCCACAGCAACTCGGTGCTCAACCAGTTTAACACCCATTTTTACAGCAGCCTCAGCACAAACAACACCCTGTACTCCAGAGAAGGGACAGAGGTTTAGAGGAAGGATTCTAGGACACTTGAGGATAGTTATTTCTGAGAGGAAATGATCCATGGGCAGGTGATTAACATTAGCCTCTTGTCTCTAGGCCACATTGCATCCACCTCCTGAAAGCCACAGACTTGTTACCCATTATACTGAAATCACAAACATTTCACATTTGGCAGCTCCACGTGACAAATCAGGGATCATAAGAGGTAGAACAGTGAAAAGTTCTCCTCAGACACTGCTTGTACTGCTGCCAGCCAGGGTCCTCTACAGAAGTCCTTGAGAAGTTACAGTTTGCCTTAGGCAGGAGGCTCTTTTGGCATGGCATTAACATTGCTGTGCTTTTTAAAGGGATAACAGAAATGTTGTGGTACTTTTAAATATCCTGTCTTCAGGTATAGGCTGCCTGTACTAAATGCTCAGCAAGTTCTTATTTGGCCACAGCTCTCCTGAGCGCTGCAGGATCCATAATAAAAAGCACTGTAGAGTGAGTAGCCACCAACACTGGAATGGTGAGTGCTGTCTTTGGCTCTCTCTCATGCCAGTGCAGACTTTCTCTAAAGCTTGACCCCCTTCCAGTCCCAGGGGGAATGTGGCTGTGCAGCAAACTGACATCATCATGGACACAACAGGAATTTTGAAGCTGAAGGGAAGCATAACAGAGTACACTGGAATTGTCTTCTGCTGTTGGATCTTTGTGTTTTCAATTCTAATTACAGGGTCAATTTTATTCATTACACATGTAAATCTAGTCACATGAGGGAAACAGGATCTGAATATATAAATATATATATTTAAGACGTGTTTTTTCTAAGAAGAAAACACAGTTGTTGTATCTTAACATTCTACATGAATCATTTCAAGTGAGTAAAGGGTTTGAATAGTGGGGTGGGAGGTGAGGGAAAAAAAAGGGAGTTAAGAAGTTTGACTGTCTCTGAATTTCAGTTTCAAAGGCTGTATCTTTCAGAGTATCAACTGCAGATATAACTGTAAAAAGTCTCTGTACTGTACTTATTATCATTTTGTAAAAGTCCGTGCTGTTCGTCCTTGTGTAAATATTAGAAATAATTCTTATTTTTCCTACACTCTACTGTAGCAACAAACATTTCAAAATACAGATGAAGTTTTTTTAAACCAAGACTTGACTCAAGTTCCACATTTTTATGTAGCGTAATATCTCAAAATGGATAACCCCAGAAGCATTTTTAATAAAGCATTTGTATAGAAGAGTGTGTACTTGTGTTTGTTTGTTTTTTCTGCACTACTTAAGCCTTTAAAAGTCTCCTTACCTGCTGGACTTGAGCAATTTGTGTGAGGAAGAGCAGGGCAGTGGTAGCAGAAGGTCAGATGCTGAGCTGACATGTCCAGGACATCAGCATTTGCATGCCTGGCAAATATAATTGGCTGCTATTATGCAAAATACTATCACTGAATAAAAATCACCCTTGGAGTTTCCCTGCTGCAGCAAAGTGGTGCCAATCACTTAAAATTTCAGAAAGCAGACTGTTTTCACATGTCAATTAACCAATATGACTGCAATTTCCCTGCATTCTTATTTATTATTTAATTTCTTTTATGTTTCAAGTTTTTCACTATCAAGGTTGCTCTGACCTTTTTCCTAGTTTTAGATCCACTATAATAAATTGCCACTTGGGAGTTGAAGCCTACCTACACTACTAACACCTTTGTTCAATAAAAAGAGCAAATGCCCTTCTGGTGGTGTCCTTGTGCCATCACTGTAAGTTTCTCTCAAGTCAGGCACATGCTGAGGCCTGAGCTGTAACTCCTGCCTCAGCATCTTCCAACCCTTACAGAATGCCAGCCTGCTGGGTGGGCTGCAATAAGCCCTGCATCTCTGCAGTGGCAGCATTTTCATAGAGATCTGCTCATGTTAAAACTGAGAAATGTCTTCAGTCACTGTGCTCATGCCTTGGACTCAGCAGATGTGCCACTTATTGCCCAGGAATACAGTTTCTGTAGAATATATGATCCACAAACTCAGAGAAACTGTTTTCTTTAGTGCTGAAATGGAAAATGTTCCACTATGAACCTGGAGACTAAAAGTGTGGGGGAAAAAAGGTGGAAAGTAAACTAAGAAGAATGACATTGCTAAGTGACAGCAGAGAGTAAAAAGCAACTCCTTTGTCACTCAGCACTTTGTTTGACTCTTCTAGTGAACAATCCCAAATAATAACAGGAACTCCATATAGGTGTCCATAAAAACAAGCTTGTGCCTCGTTGCTTCCCAGGTGCTGTCAACCCAATTACCAGTTTTGGTTTCTGCATGCTGAGGAAGTGCTGCCAAAATTCCAGTTCACAGACAAAGGTTTGTTGTCCAGTGGCTTCCCTGAGCACCAAGGAATTGGTTCCCCTGCAGCCACTGAGCTGGCTTGGCACATCAGCTCGGCTGGTGGAGCTCCTCTTCAAGGAGCAGTGGAAAGATGATTGCATGTATTGTATTCCTATTTCTCCTCCAAACAGAACTACTTTGTAATGAAACAAATCTTCATCTGTATTTTTGTGTTTTTCATAGAGAACTGGTTTTGGTAGCCAGCCATGTCAATATATTCCTGGAGCTCCTGCACATCAGTGAAGCAGCTGCAGGGAAACTCAGCAGCTATTCTTGTATGAGCAGCAGCACTGCCCTGTCACAGGTAATGCTCCCCTTCCTGTATTTTACCAATATGATTGGTGTAAGCGTTTTGGAGGGAAGAGCATCTGGGTTTTAGGGAATTATTTTCCTGCTTCTTTGTTTGTTTGTTTTAAAGTATGCTATTTAAAAATCACTAATGCTGGACCTGTAATTAAAATATATTTGAAATATCACTGATATTTGTAGACTTACAGTGTGATTAATAAACATATTTACTAAACTGCTCAAAAAGAGAATCTGGGCTCTATGAACTCTATGAATAGTTCCCCTGTTAAGATTCTTGATTGATTATTTCATTCTTAGACTGTGTTTTGTGTTGAGACACAGCTGTCTTCACATACCACCATGTTTCATGACTCTGCAATTATTTGTTCCTGGTTTAAATGTTAACCATTACAGGCTGCTCCTATCTCCACACAAGCACATCCAACCCTAAAGTGCCAGAGTAGGTTACTACTTGCTTTCCTTCTATATCACAGCAAAACTGCAAATATTAGAAGCTTTCACTGGAAGGCATTGTCTTGACTAATGATTAATGAGTAACAGGTTCCTACGTAAGTCTGAGGTATATTGCTGCTCAATCCCTGGGGCAGCTTCACTCTCAGTGATCCCAATAGAAACACCTTCCCTGGCTTCTTACTGCACAGTGTCCCCGATCTGTGTCCTGCCTCTGCAGCCCTGCAGTCTGTGACTCTTCAGCCCTGGCTCTGGTGCCAGGGAGAGGAGAGATTTGGGGTTCACAGCAGAGATCTGGGCACACAGAGAACCCTTCTACCACTGCCAGGGTTGTTGCACCTTGTTATGGGATCAGCTGCAAGCCTGGGGTCCTGCAGTAATGGGTTCTGTTTAGCTGAGGTCCTTTGTGCCCCAGCAGTCCCCTTGGAGCCCCATCAACAATTCAAGACATTTAAGCCACAAGGTTTAAAGATTTGGGTTTAACTGCAAGATTCTGAATGCCTGAGCTCCCAGATGATAAACTGACGAGAGCTTAAATGTTACAACTGGTTAAAAGATGACACCAAGAGGTGTGGTACAGGTATCCCCTGTATAGGAAAATCACATTTCAGGCCTCAAAGTATTTACTTCTCCCACAAACAGCAGTGGGGACTTTGCCAGATTGCTCTGAATTACAATGCACTAACTTTCTCTCATGAGGGGATACTTTATGAAACTCTTCACTGTTCAGTAGTGTCAATAGTTGCTTTGTTACTTCATGTGAAAGCATTCCTAGGGGAGGAAAATAACGAACATCTTCCCAGTAGGTTTGCCAATTCCTAACATTTCCAGTTTGTAGCACTTTGTAGCAACCCTTACAACTCTTTCTTAAGGATTTTGGAAAGAGCTGTCCTAGACCTGTATAATGTTTTCCTAAGTACCACACCTCTGGATCTGTGAGCTATGAACCAAAAGCCTGCTGTACACTTGGAACCTGTAGCTTTCCCTGCTTTAAGTGCTGACACAGCTGCAAGACTTTGCTGCTGTAGTCCTGGAGGTATTGCTGTTAAATACACCTCAGCTGCTGCTTGCCATGGGCTAGAAACCTGCGAAGCTGTCAAGCCCTGGACTGAAAGACACTTGAGTTTTTCTTATTTATGCTGCAAGTCTAGTTCTAAGAGGGTAAGGACTGTAATCTACCAAAACAACTTTTCCTAATTGCACTTGTCCAACATCCTGCCTGCTGATATTCTGTGCAAATTCATTTTCAGAATGCCTCTCTAAAATGAATTTTTACACGTCTTGTATTAGCTGAATTGGAAGTACAAATTGTGCTTTACCTCAGCATGGCTTTGATTCTTTTTAAATCCTACAAGCGTTCCTCTGCTAATGTCTTTACACAAAGTTGTTTTACCCTTGTGCAGCATACAATATCCTTTGCTCTTTAAGAAGGAAGCTGCCAAGATGAGGCAACCCTAAAAGTAACCATTCCAGTCTTCTAAAAAGGGCTTTCACTGTGTCACAGCCAGCAATATTCTTCATGTTACTCATGCTTTGATTCTGTAACTGCCCTGAACTGTTCCAACTCCTCTCATTCAATCCTTTGCAGTGCAGATCTGTCCTGCTGCTTTCTCATCACCAGTGGTGAGTTCCACTAATTAGTTCTCCTTGCTTCTGTTCCTCTGGCAGATTGCAGAAGGTAAGTATGGTATGCATGCAGTAACAGGTGTTAGCATCAAACCCTGCATGAGGAGCTGTCAGAAGCTCTATGACACATTAGGAGAGTTTTTCCCAGTGTTTGAAATTGTGTTTAGGTGACCTATTACAGCTGGATTAATTACACACCTCATCCCAGCAGAGCCCCCAACTGCAGGGGCAACCTGCCCATAGTGAAATGCTGATCCTTTCATGGCAACACAACAGAGAAATTAACAGTGCATTGCCCAGTACCTGAATGATGACCAGGCACCACAGAGAAAACTGACTTGTGTCATC